TCCAGCCCTAACCATTCTATGATTCTAATACAAATTTTGAAATAAAAAGATACAAATGACATGTTTGCCATTCCTTGAAGCCAATTTTTCCCAAAGCTGCCTACGAGATTTATGAGCTGTTCATGTCTACTTGGAAGTGAATTTCACTGCTAAATGTGGATTTGGCACCTATGTTCCAGGAAAACGGGTCTTGAATGTAAGATCTGCATCCCTTAAATAATACTTGGAAGAGTCCAAGCAATAAGCAGGAGCATTTTTAAGTTTTAGACACTTTTTCCCCTCAACAGTAAGCTTCTTGCATCCTTCCAGAACAAATATTTGTAGGCTTTCAGATAATCAGCAAGATTTTGTACCTTTCTTCGGAAAAAGAAACTCATGAGGGTCTTAAAAGCTGTCTTAACAGCTTTTAACCATATGGCACAAGATTCTTTTCAGTTAATGGCCAATATACTGCCAGTTCCTATAGCAGATTAGACTAAGCAGTGGCACATGGAGAAGATCTCTCCAGCTTTAGTTCTCCTGGAGTCTCTATTATTTGATTGTGCAGTCTGTCAGTAAGATCCTTTTCTGTTCTTTGAATCAAGAAGGGACTTAAAACCTTTACAGCCTTTTGTTGCTGAGAAGAGCAGAGCCTTTAGCCTGGTGGTGTAAATAAAGCCCACTCTGCCAAAGCATGTTATGTGAGTAGAATAAAGAAAAGAGAGACTTAAATGGTTGTGTTTTATGAAACAGATGCAAGAACCGCTTTTCATGTGTTCACGTGCTCTGTTAAATGTGTATGCATTTGCTGGTGCAAGCTGTAGAATCATGGAACTAGGGACTGTGTTTTCTTAAACTATGCTGAGGAATGTCAAAAGCCTTAGAATATTGTCTTCTCCTTCCTGCCTTCCCTCTTTGCCTTTTTGCACGCGTAGCCTTTGTCCTTTATCTGAGCATGGCTTAGTATCGATTCTAATTAATTAGAGTCTAATTCTAATTAGAGCTCTAGCTGCAGAATGAAAAAATTGCAGGTCATTCATTCGCGTGTTTCTGAATGAGAGATTTGCGTAGGCCAATGTTTTCCATATTGGAGGGACTCACCTTGAAGAACTGAAAGAGGAAATTTGCAGAAAGTGCAGATATTCTAGGTTTGACCAGCATTCAAGCATTACTTTCTGACCAAATCAAGTTCTGTGTTATTGTACTCTAGCTACAGAAAGTATTGTATTGTGTACAAATGGATATCGTTTACTGTTACTTAGCAGAAAAACTTAAAGAAGATGGAGAAACTTTTGAGTAAGTCAGTACTATTAGGAGCTACACCATTGGTTAGGTTTTACTCCATGCATTGCAGAGTGTGATGGAGATCCAGTCTGAGATTATAAGCGAACTTTGTTGCAGCGGGTGAGATGTCTGTTTTTTTTTAAGATTATTTTTTTAAATTAATAATTTAAAATATATGCATGTATGTAAGATAGCAATCAGGGACTATGATGATGGTAAAACACACACAGATCAGGTATGAATCAGGATCTTTTTTGTGCTCCAATAGCACACAATGAATTTGTATACTGCTATTTGTTGAATTGTTGTGGAGAATTATGGTTTGGACACCCCCAGTTTTTGGACTGGTTTACAGGTTGTCATTGTAGTGGATGTTGATCTCAACACATCTCTAAAGCTGGCATGTGCCATGTGTGCCCTGGAAATGGGAGAGAAAGTACTTTTGTACTTTCGGTCCATCATAGCCTAAAAAGGCGATCAGTGTTGTATAAATTGTATTTTGTTTTCCTCTTTATACTCCTTTGTATTGTTTTTCCAATAATCTGTGGTTTTACTGATCAATTTATAAGAAAGTGTGAAACAATAATGGTTGCCATAATCTTTCATAAACACAGAGTAAAAACAGTTGTTTGCGAGAAGCTGTGTCATGAAATTCGTTTTCAAAGCAGATACTCAATTCCGCAGCATTCTTGGAATCACCATGAACATGGCGTAGCACAATACAGCACATCATGTCACATACTCATTATGGCATCAAATTGTACTTTATGCTAGGATACACATACATAAAAAGCGGATTTCTGACAGACACCAGGTTCCAGACTAACGGTGATTAATGGTTATTAGCCTTTAGGTTTGGAACCTATTAACTTTGTTAATCAAAAGCTAGAAAAAAGAGTACTTTATATCTTAATGTCATGGTAGTGCCATTTCATTATGTTTTTTCATTCTAGATATTATGAAGTAGCATAATTTCAATAAAAAAATGAAGGACTATTTTTTCTGAGTTGAGACACTAATGTGGTAAGAGATTTCATCTCAGGTGGGGAAAGGTTGAAACATCCTGTATATTGTGAAACACTAATTGAAGTCATCAGCTTGTGTAAAGGGACATTGGTGAGGCATTTATAGTTTCATTCACCATTATCTTCACTGCTCAGAAGTTAACAAAATAACTTTTTTTCCCATTGAAGAAAATCTGTGTTGCTTTGTTTTTATCAGACATTATTATGCCACATTAATTGTAGACATGAGTTTAGCTACATGCAGCCTTTGTCACTGAGCTCTCTGCTCTAGAAAATTTACCAAATAAACATGGGGAAAATCTGAAGGAAAAGATGTTCATAGAATAGATATTTAGGTGCCTTACGGAATGTGGAATAGCTGAAAGATTGCAAAATAATTTGAAGCCATCTTCCAGAATATTGAAATTTAAAATGAATTGATGGTCTTAGAAAAATAGATATATGTTTAGATGTCTGCTATTAGAATGCCAAACAAAACTGCGTTAAGTAACTTTTAAGCTGAAGTATGGGTCTGAGCCAAGCAAAAATCAAGGTACTAGCTTGGGATTGTATCTGTGTTAGCTCCTAGTTGTTTTGCTCTTTCTCAGATAACGAAAATGCCGACAACCTAAATGTCAGTTGGGAGCAAACTTTGTGGATTATAATATATTAACTGCGGTTATTATATATGCATATATGTATTTATGTGTATATATATTGCTGTCACACTGAAGTGCCTATGTGGATCCTCTGCATCAAGCTGAGGTGGGAGTTCCAGGAACCTGCAGAGGCAAAAAGCCTGGGCTGTTTTTAGGGAGGAAGGAGGAGCGAGGAGAAGGGAAGAGGGAAGGCTTGAAATCAAGCTTGAGAAAAACTGGAGTATCTGCAAACACTGTGTTTTGGCATTGGAGTTGAAGTTAAATTTTTTTTGAAGAGTCGTAGATGGTGTTTGAAATCCAAATACTAAATCTGGAGCTGAGTAGGAAGTAACATTTTTCGTTTAGCAGGAAGTTGGATTGTTTTCTTATTTCTTCTCTTCCAAAAATGAAGGGGGGAGGAGGGGAGGCGAAAGCTAGCTGCATAATAAACTGGTGCATTGGAAGTACAATCTGTTTGGATCTCACTAAAAGCTTCATTTTCATTTTATGTAAACCATTTTACTCTGATTTTTTGCGTTTTTTTCTTATGAATCCTTATAAGACATTAAAATGAAATATTATGGTATTTTGAAAGGGCCACAGGACTCTTCAGTTTAAGCTGTTTTGCTGTTTGGGTTGTGTTTTTGTTTTTTAAAATTTATACAGATTGATTTTGGTGCTTGAAAGTGCTTAATCAATTTTAGTTACATAACTTGAGTGCAGGTACTTATAGCTGTTAAAGACCCCTATGGTAAAGTAAACATTAATTTTTAGATTTCATGTTTCAAGTTCATTTTTCTCTCAGTTATTAAACTAAAGGAGATTTTTTTGTTGTTGAATGTTTTTGTCATTTCCTAAAGTGAGTCTGTCTGTGGTGATCTTCCTTTACAAAGGAAGGCTGAGATGATTCAATCTGGTAAAGGTAAAAAGGAGCCTTTCCAATTTGACTCTGGCATAGACCAAAAATGCTCTCAAAATATTACAGCAAGAAAGAGATTACTTCTTAAAAGAAGATCTGAATATGTTGAATTTTTAACCTAGTTGCATAGTCAGGCATGGATGGGAGAGGATATAAGGTGGAAGACAAAACACTGATTTAAAAAGCAGGAAGCAGACAAATAAATCTGAAATTAGTTCAAGGTGTGGGGAAACCTGGGACGTGGTATAGTTTTTCCATGTACTCTGCAAATATGCTACCATGTTAAAAAACAAATCCAGAGAAGAAAGAGGATGCCAGTTCAGTGTTCTGATCAACAGCAGTGCAGACATTGTGAAGGGAAATATGTAAACATAGTGTTTACATACATATCACTGTTTAAATTAGCATGGGTAAAGAAACTTCTAATTTGAAAGCTTCCTGTCACTTTCATATGCTGATCTACTTTTTCCTTTCCTGTTTAATGTGTTGTCAAATGGAGAAAGCAGCGCAGTCCTATTTAAAACTTAATCAATGATTTATTCGAGAAGTTACTTTTAAGTAGAAGGATTTACTTTTCTTTGAAGCTAGAACATTTTTTCTTATTCCTTTGCAGTTTTCTCTTAACGTTTCAAGTGCTATATGACCATCTGTGACTTTTTTCTGTTTTTAATATAGCTCATCCAGTTGATTTTGAGTCACCTTACAGTACCAGACCTGTGTAGACTAGCGCAAACTTGTAAGCTACTATATCAACATTGCTGTGATCCTCTACAGTACATTCATCTCAGTTTACAACCTTACTGGGCAAGGATTAATGACACATCTCTGGAATACCTACAGTCTCGCTGCACTCTCATCCAGTGGCTGAATTTGTCTTGGACTGGAAACAGGGGAGCCATCTCTGTTTCTGGATTTAGCAGGTCAGTGCTAAACGTACAGAAGTATTTTGACAAGCTCTATTTGCAGAGCTGCTGCACGGTAGTTTCACTAAGTGTTTGAAACCTTATTAAAAGACGAGAAATGTCTTTCATTTGCTGTAAAGGGTGGGATTGTTACGATGTAGAAAAAAGCAACAGCTAAACCAGTAAGAGATACTAGATGTAGCAGCAGAAGTCCATTTCAGTATGTAGAGTCTGCGTGTGCCAAACTGCCTGTGACCGTAAGGCTTCTTCCAGGGGGAGTGGTGTTTTGCTTTCTCCTGGGCTTCTAAAAGACTCCACTAGAACCAAGCTGTAAAAAGTCCGTCTCATGAAGAAAAGGTTTACAGTTGTTCTTTGTGCAGATGAGTCATCAGGAGGACTGTATTAGAATGGCTGCAGTAATAAACTGATTACAGTGCATGCTTACAAGGTATGGGCCCTAAGTAATCACTGGAGAGCAATGTAAATGCAAATATTTTCATAAAAATGATTTAAAACATTATCCCTGTTGGGAAACAGGGGCTTTGCATGTTCATCTTCCACTGAGCTGAAAATATGACTGTGCTGTAGGTCATTAAAATAGCAAATTCACAGGGATTCTTCTGTGTGTAACAGCCGCGTTCCCTGCTTTTTTAACATATCATTTCTTGCTTCTTTGCTCGTTTGCATTAGTTAAACAGCATCTATCAATGCATTTCATTTAAGCAAAAATTGCTGCTTCAACTAAGAGGTAATCAGCAATGGCAGTTGAAAGCAGAACTTGACTGATAAGAAACAGAAATGTTTAATATATCTGAAAGAAATTGTCTTAACTCTCATTTGTTTTCTGAATAAAAAGGTTAAATCAAGTATTCAAACATTTTCTTTCCTTTGCTGCCTGGATGCCTTCACTGAGGAAGTAAGATAATTTGAATAAATGCTTTGTCAAGATGAGAACGTTGCTTCCCATTTTCCTGACCTTCCAGTATAATCCAAGAGCCCTATGCTTTATTGTGTTTATTGGTAGTAAAAGGAGATGGACATCAGCTAGTTTTTGAGTAGGACACAAACATTTCTTCTAAATTTGGATTTCATATTAGATACATTATGCAGAGGATAAATATGCAACCTGTAATTGGGAATCCAGCTCTGAAATCATGAAGTGCTTACTTTCTGACGCTTAGCTTTTAAGTCTGTCTTTGAGAACTTAAAGTATGTGCATCTTCATGGAATTTTTTTTTTCATTTTCATTATTGGATTTTTTTGACCATGTGGTACATTGCAGTTCTGGCATTTCTGACTTCCAGTTAGTTGAAAATGACTTTATTGCTAATGCCTGGGTGGTTTTTGGTTTTGATTTTTTTGTTTGTTTTTTTTACTTCAGTGCTGAACTAATAGTAGCACTTATATGTAGTCAATGTTTCTAAAATAATAAATATTCATTGTTTGACTGTTAATAATGTGTGAATAAACATGGTCAATTTCTGTTCATTATAACGGGTGATGTTTATTTGTCACAAGGAGGAAGAGTGTTCTTCGACATTGATACAATTGTGAAGTTACCTCTATTGTAGGAAAAAGTATTTCTTGGAAGAGATACATGCAGTCTGGGAATGGAAGATGCAGTTCAGTCATAAATTTTTGAAACAAAGTTGTAAGCTAAGTAATTTTCAGGTGTGACTTCTCAGAATTTTCACTTCCCAATCAAAAATTCTCCAGTGTAGCCAGATCTGGTTTTGAAAGTTTTCTTTTTCCAAATATGGAAACAATTTTGCAACTTTGTTCTGTAGAAGCATCTTTTCTAGTAGAATTTCCAAACAGAAATTATCCTTGACATTCATCATCAGCGTGTTTGTCAAATTTGATAGCCCTTCAGGAAAGGAAAATTGGCTTCTCTTTTGCTATGGAAGTATCTATTAATACAGAAGATTAGATGTGTTAGAACAACACTTGCTTTTCAAAAGCATTAGTGTAACTTTCTTTGAAAAAGTAGCTTCATGGTAAGAAATACTGTTCCTCAAAGGAGAAATCTATCAAGTAACGTTTTAATTCTGTTGCCCTGGCTATCATTAAGGTACCACCACCATGTGCATATTGCAGCATCCAGGGCACGTCATGAAGTCCCACAATTTTTCCTTTTGAACTTCTAGATGTTCCTCACTTAGACTGATTTTTGGGAGATATTATGCAAAACAGTTTTGAAATAATGGAGGTACTTTGACTTTCTTAGAAAATTTAAGTGTGGAATAGAATTCCTTTCTAGTTTATTCTTCAGAATATTGAGTATTGCAGAGGAGGTTGTCTGCTGGCTGGGGAGAGTACATTGTTGCTTTTATCAGTTACTTGCTGATGTTAGTGTTAATGAATTGTCCTTTGAAGAAATTAAATACTTATGTATTTCTCTCTGTCTCTATATGTAAGCGTAGAAGACATTATTACTACATTTATCAGTGTAAAATCTTCTCTTACAGCCTGCTGCATTAATGTTTATGAATCAGTTTCTTGGTTTCTCTTTATCTTTCTCTCCTTGACTCCCTTTCTGGTCTTGGTATTTTCTATTTCTTTCTGCAAAGGAAATTTTTTAATAAGGCAATGAGATGTGCCTTATCTAATAAAAGCTGCGTCTTTAATTTTGAATTTAATTGGTGAAAAAGTCTTCTTGTAACTTGAGATTGAATTGAAATGAGTCTAAACTGCTTGTTCCAATACTTCAAGTTTATAAATTTTGTGATAAGTGGCTGCATAAGCAACCGTGAATGGGTGTCAAGCCAGCTACTTGGAGATGTAGAGAATTCTGCCTAAAAGTTGTAACAATTTGTAGGACTCTGTTATGTTGTTTTTAAAAGGCTGACCTGTATCTGTCAATTCAAGGAGAAAAAAATGTTGTTTTCTAAATGAAATTTGTAAATAAATTCACAAACACTACAAGTTGCTGCAGTATAGAAACAACAAAATGCTAAACCCAAAATACATTATCCTCATAGATAACAGCATTTGCCTTTTGCAGGGCCTGCTTTTTATTTTGTTTTCTTTATTTTTGCACTTTTCTCAGCATTTGAGGTTATAGTTGGCACTGTTGAATTCAAAACTGGTAGAGTTAGCTTCATTCTTAAAACTATACGGTTTAGGTTATGATTTCTGCAAGTCAGGGCATGTTTAAATGCTACTCTTCCTCGAATTTCATTTTGGCAAATATCTTTCAAAAACGTGTTTTTTTGTTATCTGTGGTTTCTTATGACAGTCTTAGAAGTAGTAGCGTGTGTAAACTTGTGTGTTGCTTTAAAAGGTTCATATAGACATGACTGTAAGAAATAATTGAAAATATATGTTTTTCTTGCAAAAGTGTATTAAAGTAGAAATTTTTTTTAAAGAGTAATTTTAAGAAATGTGACTGTAGCAAATACTGTATTATCATGAGAAGATAGAATGCTTCAGGCATGTGAACATCCTGAGGCAAAGCTGAAGGTATTTTAACTTATTGATAATATCTTCTCCTTAGGGCTAAAAATGACGATCATAAATTTTTCATTTCAGCGTATAATATAAATAAAATAAACTTTGTCGTTTAGATTGAACTAAAAGTGTATGGAAAAGCGAAAGACAAATGAAATTAGTACCTGAGCAGTCTCAAGTGTCTGGAATGCAAAGTGACAGGGAATAAGCAAAGATTTCACAGCAAGAGTTACATAAGCAGCACTGGATTTCTCTTGGTGTTAGAGGTACGGTGAATTTCTTCATGCCAGGGGAATATTGGTGTGGGAGGATAAGACCTATATAGGAAAAGTGAGGCAAGTTGACTGGAGGTACGCTGAATGTCTAGATGCTGAATAAATGCTCTGAGGTTTGAACAGCTCAAGGACAATGACAGTTTAAAAACCGAGTTCTGCATGCAGATTTCTTTGTAGCATTGATAATGTCGTTAGCTTACTTAAACTCTTTTGCTTTAAATATCTGAGGTATTAAGATTTTTATTTACCTCTGACATTTTATACTATGAATATTAGTTAATAGTGTTTTATTTTAGGGTTAGTGATGCAGTATTTACATGTCAAGTACGTCCAGGAATATTTGTTTAAAAATTTGGTTAGAATTCGAAGACTTTAGCTGCTATTTAATAAAGGTTTAACTTGGTGAGGTTTTGCCGCAAAACAAATTAGCAGGAAGGTCAGAGAAATTAAGGAAACGTGCATCAAATAGTCACAGAAAATAGGAGTAATGTGTGACTTGACAGGCATTCTCAATTTAAAAATCATATCTGTCTCTTTTTTACTATTATTTTTTTTTTAGTGAAACTTAGGGTTGCTGTAACTGAGATTAAGTAATAATGTTTGGTTTGGGTGTTTTTATTGAAATAGTTTAATCTACATTGGGAAAAGCATAAGATCACGTACTTAATATTCTCCTTACTTGCATGCTATGTTTTAAGGTTTACTGGCAAAAAAAAAAAGTTCGATACATGCTAGAGTGAAAAATAACATTGGAACGATTAGAATAGCTTAGAGGAAGGGAAGATGACTTCATTTTAAAAACAAGATTGTCTTGCTCAGTCTCACTGTCATGCGTGCATTCTTGCATGTGCCGAGACAACTGATGTGCGTCCAAAGCAATTTGTCCAGCGTGTAGTCTCACGTTCTGTGCCACCTCTGTCCTTCATCTCCTAATTGCAATTTGTCCAGCGTGTAGTCTCACCATTCTGTGCCACCTCTGTCCTTCATCTCCTAATCTGCGTGTCCTGAGAAACTGCACATACATATGTTCAAGGATCTTGATGACCTGCTAATCTGATTTCCCCCCAACACACACCACTACCAGCCCCTGTATTGCCATTTGTTCTTTCTCAGGCTTCCACACCTGTGCGTACCAGTTTGTTCTCCAGTCATACCAATCTTAACACTTGTGTTACAATTATCTGTACTAGATACTGCTGCTGTTTAGTAACACAGCAGTTCTGAAAGGTAAAACGTCATTGTGAGCATAAAAAAATCTGGAGCTGCTGCTGTTGTGTAACGCAGCAGTTCTGA